CCTGACATGAACCCCATCGAAAACCTTTGAGCCATACTCGACCGGCAAGTCAAGAAACAACAACAACAAAAAAACAAAAAAAAAAACAACTTCGAAGAGCGATCTACTTCAAGTTTTGAAGCAAGAGTGGGCGAAAATCCCACAATCTAAAATTGACAAAATGAATTCCCAAAGGATCAACGAACTCCACGAAGCGAAAGGAAGATCTACTAGATATTAATTAAATTATAAATATATCAATTCATGTGAATATGACTGAAAATTTTCATTTTTTTCTGAAAAGGAGGTGTCTATTTACTTGTGACCACGCTGTGCATATGTTTGCGTGTCTTATGTTTAAGTACTTGAAACTTTTATATATTTTAAAACTTATTGATATTTAATTCGTTAAAACGGCTACGTCAGCCAGTGTAATGCTTTACTTTTTTTAGTTGTTAGAGATTTGTTTCTTTGTTAGCGATTACAAAGATACACAGTGGGCTATTTTTGGTGCGTCCACTGTGGGTATCGAAACCCAATTTTTAGCGTTATAAGTCCTTAGATTTACCGCTGAGTCACCGGAAAGCTAGTTATTGTATAACACTATATATTATTCATTTTTGAAGCTCAGATGAAACGTATTTACTACCATTGAATTCATCAACAAGAAAAACAACAAGATCTTTTCGAAACGGTACTTTTAGATTTCGGAGAATACGAAATGGGATGTATCGTGAAACGAATAGTACATACAAAACATATAAAATCCACTATAGATTTGAGTGAGTGCCAGTTTCTTACGCAACATCTGTATTATAAGCAGACCTTAGCAACATGAGTTCCATTGACATATTCATTTACCATAGGTTCCCGTACACACGCACGCCAACGTGAATTGAATAGAAAATCTTAAAAACAAACAAAAAACTATACCAGCATTATATTTACCACATTAATGTACCTGTTGTATTTATGTTATTCGTTTTTATTCTATTTTTACGTTAACATGTTCGGTTCTTTATGTGATGTTGTACTTTGTGTTACTAAATCCTAATTCTTGCTTGAACTGGCAATATGATCTATCATATCCTGCTCTATAAGTGACTCTGTACTTTGCACAATTTTACCCTGTTTTTCTTTTTTCTTTTTACGAGTGGCATTAATGATTTTCGGGAAGGCAAAGTAGATGAAGATTTGAACGTTGTATTGATAACCTATTTCAGTACGTAAAGTCAATCATCATGCAATGAAATAAACACTAAATGTCTAGCTTGAATGTAGCCAATTTCCCTTTGCTCGCCATCCCCTAAAAAACACACAAATACCACCATGCAACAGAAAAACAAAGTAATGCCATATATTTCGTTTTGTCAACAGAAGTTTTGAAAAAAAACAAACTATATTATATAAATATTCGAAATGAAATATTAAGATGTACATAGTTTAGTTTTCACACACACACACACACACACACATATATATATATATATATAGTAACTGGAACATGGTAAAGATAATTTAAATATTGAGTGAAAACAGAATATGCAAAATTTGGAGTTTTATTATAGTCACCATTTTTAAAGATTTGAAACTTCTCTGTTGTAATTACAAAATAGGAAAATGGTGTGATCAGTAAGACAGTTATATGTGAACGTAAGCAGTTTTCGAATGTATGTTTTTGCAAGCATACCAGTATAAAAATATAAAAAAATATTAGTAATTCTGCAATCATTCTTCGAATAATCGAAACGTATTTAGTTTCTTCTGATAATCGAATCTTCAAAAAGGAGAAAAAGAATACGTCTCAATACTCAGTTTCTTTTGTTAATATAAACTTCTAAAGAGATAAAAATGAAGCAATTCTCAACTATCTAGTTTCCTATGTTAAACATCCGAGGAGGGTAACATAGATTACATTTCAAAGTTTTAGCGGTTAAATGAAATTTTCTATTTGCATTAGGCATACTGAAATTAATATTTTGCATTATTTTTGGCCCGGCATGGCCAGGTGGCCAGGCGCTCGACTCACAATTTGCAGGTCGCGGGTTCGAATATCCATCACACCAAACATGCTCACCCTTTCAGCCGTGGGGGCGTTATAATGTCACGATCAATCCCAATATTCGTTGG